GGCGCCCATGAGACCCAATTCCCATCATCAATCACGTTTCCAACATGGCGCCAGTTGGACCCAATTCCCATTACCATTTCCAAGATGGCACCCCTGATACCCGATTCCCATCATCCAATGCATTTCCAACATGGAACCAGTTGGGCCCAATTCCCATCCTCCAATGTCTTTCCAAGATGGCGCCCATGACTTCCCGTCATCCTTCACATTTCCAACATGGCGCCACTGATACCCAATTCCCATCATCCATTTTCAAGATGGTGCCCATGACTTCCCGTCATCCATCACATTTCCAACATGGCGCCAGTTGGACTCAATTTCCATTATCCGTTTCCAACATGGCGCCAGGTGGATGCAATTTCCATTATCCATTTCCAAGATGGCGCCCCAGATACCCAATTGCCATCATCCAACACATTTCCAAGATGGAACCAGTTAGACCCAATTCCCATCGACCAACACATTTCCAAGATGGCGCCCATGAGACCCCCTCCCATTCCCATCCTCCAAGTTCTTTTGAAGATGGTGCCCATTGGACTCAATTCCCATCATCCATTTCCAAGATGGCGCCCCTGATTCCCAATTCCCATCATCCATCACACTTCCAAGATGGCGCCCATTATACCCCCTTCCCATCTTCTAACATCTTTCGAAGATGGCGCCTATGACTTCCCATCATCCATCACATTATGAACATGGCACCCATGGGACCCAATTCCCATCATCCATCCCATTTCCAACATGGCGCCAGTTAGACCCAATTCCCATTATCCATGTCCAAGATGGCGCCCATTCTACCAAACTCCCCTCCTCCAACGTCTTTTCTAGATGGCTGACGACCGAGGGAGGCCTGGCCCCAGGCTGGATGGACACACGGACGCCCTGGCGTGGGTCCCTCAGGAGACCTGGTGGGACTCATCCCACCAACAACCACAACCGCAGTCACGGGAAGATGGGTGGGTGGATGGATGGATGGGTGGATAGATGAGTGGATGGATGGATGGGTGGATGGATGGATGGATGGATGGATGGATGGATGGATGGATGGATGGATGGGTGGTTGGATAGGTGGATGGATGGGTGGATGGATGGATGGATGGATGGATGGATGGATGGATGGATGGATGGATGGATGGATGGATGGATGGGTGGTTGGATAGGTGGATGGATGGGTGGATGGATGGGTGGATGGGTGGATGGATGGATGGATGGATGGGTAAATGGGTGGATGGTTGGATGGGTGGGTGGATGGATGGATGGATGGATGGATGGATGGATGGATGGATGGATGGGTGGATGGATGGGTGGATGGATGGATAGGTGGATGGATGGATGGGTGGATGGATGGGTGGATGGATGGGTGGGTGGATGGATGAGTGGATGGATGGATGGATGGGTGGATGGATGGATGGGTGGATGGATGGGTGGATGGATGGATGGGTGGATGGATGGGTGGATGGATGGATGGATGGATGGATGGGTGGATGGATGGATGTGTGGGTGGATGGATGGGTGGATGGGTGGATGGATGGATGGATGGATGGATGGGTGGATGGATGGATGGGTGGGTGGATGGGTGGATGGGTGGATGGGTGGATAGATGGATGGGAGGATGAGTGGATGGATGTATGGGTGGATGGATGGGTGGATGGATGGATGGAAGGATGAATGAGTAGATGGATGGATGGATGGACGGTTTGATGGATGGGTGGATGGATGGGTGGATGGTTGGATGGATGGATGGATGGGTGGATGGATGGGTGGAAGGATGAGTGGATGGATGGGTGGATGCTTGGATGGATGGGTGGATGAATGGATGGGTGGATGAATGGGTGGATGGATGGGTGTGTGGATGGATGGATGGGTGGATGGATGGATGGATGGATGGGTGGATGGGTGGATGGATGGGTGGGTGGATAGATGGATGGGTGGATGGATGGGTGGAAGGATGAGTGGATGGATGGGTGGATGCTTGGATGGATGGGTGGATGAATGGATGGGTGGATGAATGGGTGGATGGATGGGTGAGTGGATGGATGGATGGGTGGATGGATGGATGGATAGGTGGATGGATGGATGGGTGGATGAATGGGTGGATGGATGGGTTGGTGGATTGATGGATGGGTGGATGGATGGATGGATGGATGGATTTGTGGATTGGTGGATGGATGGGTAGGTGGATGGATGGATGAATGTATGGGTGGATGGATGGATGGAAGGATGAATGAGTAGATGGATGGATGGATGGATGGATGGTTTGATGGATGGGTGGATGGATGGATGGAAGGATGAATGAATAGATAGATGGATGGATGGATGGTTTGATGGATGGGTGGATGGATGGATGGGTGCAAGGATGAGTGGATGGATGGGTAGATGGATGGATGGATGGATAGATGGGTGCATGGATGGATGGGTGGATGGGTAGATGGATGGATGGACGAATGGGTGGATGGATGGCTGAGTGGATGGATGGATGGGTGGATGGATGGGTGGATGGATGAGTGGATGTATGGGTGGATGGATGGGTGGATGGATGGATGGATGGATGAGTGGATGGATGGGTGGGTGGATGGGTGGATGGATTTTTGGGTGGATGGATGGATGGATGCATGGGTGGATGGATGCATGGGTGGATGGATGGATGGATGGATGATGGATGAGTGGATAGGTAGATGGATAGATGGATGGATGGATGGGTGGATGGGTGGAAGCATGGACGGATGGATGGTAGTACCAACCGTGGTCTGAACAACCACCACACCAACAACCACAGGAAGAGTCATCATGGTTTAATAATACTGACGGTGTGAGTAATAATACTACTAACGGTAAGAGTAACAATAACATCATCATCAACAACAACAACAACAATAATAATACTCTTCTGGTGAGCGCACCGTCTGCGTGGTTCAGTGCATGTGGGCAGGAGCTCTCGGCGTTAGCCAGGCCAGCCTGGAAACCTGTGATCTGCCTGCCTCAGTTTCTCTGGATGCTGGGGTTGAAGGAGAGATTGCACTGTGATTTTGTTTCGGTGGTAAACGGGAATTGGGGCAAAGGGGCGCCATCTTGGAAAAGGGGTGGATGGGTGGATTGAAGGGTGGATGGATGGATGGATGGATGGATGGATGGATGGGAGGATGAATGGGAGGATGGATGGAGGATGGGTGGATGGGGGGGTTGAATGGATGGGTGAAAAGGTGGATGGGTGGGTGGATGAGTATGTAGATGGATGGATGTGTGGATGGATGGAAGGAGAATGGGTGGATGGATGAGTGGATGGGTGGATGGGTAGATGGATGTGTGGATGGATGGATAGGTGGATGGATGGGTGCATGGATGGATGGGTGGATGGATGAATGGATGGATACGTAGAAGGATGAGTGGAAGGATAGGTTGATAGGAGGATGGGTGGATGGATGGGTAGATGGGTGGATGGATGGAAGGATGGATGGATGGAAGGATGGGTGGGTGGATGGATGGATGGATGGGTGGATGGATGGGTGGATGGATGGATGGGTGGATGGGTGGATGGATGGATGGGTGGATGGGTGGATGGATGGATGGGTGGATGGATGGATGGATGGATGGATGGGTGGATGGGTGGATGGATGGATGGGTGGATGGATGGGTGGATGGATGGATGGGTGGATGGATGGATATTTGGGTGGGAGGAGGAGGAGGCCTAGCAGCTCATATCACAGCTGCAGCCAGGGCTTCCACAGCAGGTGGCCCATTGAGAGCTGGTTGGTGATGTGGGGGGGCACGGAGGCCGTGTGTCTCTGGGCGGCCTGGGCCATGGCGCGGAGCACAGTGTGGAAGCGTGGCTCCGTGGCGGGTGTCAGAGGGGCGAGCTCGCGGGGGTCGCGTGAGAGGTCGAAGAGCAGCGGGGGGTCGTGGCGTGTGACGTGGCGGCCATGACACAGGCACACGTGGGTGTCGTGGCAGCCATTGGAACCCGGGGGGCTGAAGTTGGGCGTGAAGTAGAAGGCCTTCCAGATGGACGTGCCTGTGGACAGACGGACAGAGTGAGGATGGTCAGCCCATCCATCCACCCATGAATCCATCCACCCATCCATCCATCCATCCATCCACCCACCCAACCATCCACCCATCCATCCATCCATCCATCCACCCACCCACCCATCCACCCATCCATCCATCCATCCATCCACCCACCCACCCATCCACCCATCCATCCATCCATCCACCCATCCATCCACCTATCCACCTATCAACCCATCCATCCATCAATCCATCCAATCACTCATCCTTCCATTCACCCACCCATCCATCCACCCACCCACCCATCCATCCACCCATCCATCCATATATAGACCCACCCACCTAACCATCCATCCATCCATCCATCCATCCATCCATCCACTCATCCATGCATTCACCCATCCACCGATCCATCCATCCATCCATCCACCAATCCAACCATCCATCCACCCATCCATCCACCCATCCATCCATCCATCCATCCATGCATCCATCCACCCATCTATCCACCCATCCATCCATCCATCCACCCATCCATCCATCCATCCATCCACCCACTCATCCATCCACTCGTCCACCCATCCATCCACCCATCCATCCATCCATCCATCCATCCATCCATCCATCCACTCATAAATCCATCCATCCATCCATCCATCCATCCATCCATCCATCCATCCATCCATCCACCCATCCATCCAGCCATCCATCCATCCATCCATCCATCCACCCACCCATTCACCCATCCATCCATCCATCCATCCATCCACCCATCCATCCATCCATCCATCCATCCACCCATCCATCCACCCATCCATCCACCCATCCATCCATTCACCCATCCATCCACCCACCCATCCATCCATCCATCCATCCACCCATCCATCCATTCATCCACCCACCCATCCACACATCCATCCATCCATCCACTCATCCATCCACTCATCCATCCACGCATCCATCCATCCATCCACTCATCCATCCACCCATCCATCCATCCATCCATCCATCCATCCATCCATCCATCCATCCACCCATCCATCCATCCATCCACCCATCCACCCATCCATCCATCCATCCATCCACCCATCCATCCATCCATCCATCCACCCATCCATCCATCCATCCACACGTTACTCACTGTTCTTCGGG